CGGGGCGGGCCTGAGCGAGGCCGTCTGTCGACCCGCCCCCCTTTCTTCGCCGCTAAGCCAGGGTGCAGGGTAATCATTGGCCTGGCGCTGTGCTTGGGGGCGACCCACCGGTCCCCTCCTTCTCCAATCTCCGGACCCCACTGAGAACGGGAATCGTAGGTCTAGCAAAGAGAAACCAAGAATGAGAGCCCCAAGGTTGATCGTCAAGGCCTTGGCAGGCCTCCACCTCCGGTTTCTTGGATTTGTCAACTGCTTATAGGAAATAGATTTTTCTTTTTTAAAATTTATTTTTGTTTTTAATTATATTTTATTGATTGTGCTATTACAGTTGTCCCAATTTTTTTCCCCTTTGCCGCCCTCTACCCAGCAACCCCCACTCCCTGAGGCAATCCCCGCACCATTCATTGTTCATGTTCATGGGTCATGCCTTTAAGTTTCTTGGCTACTACTTCATTTCCTATATTGTACTTTAAAAGAGGCAAACTCGGTAGTGACTTCCCTGGGATGAAAGAACCCAGCACCGAAGAACTTTAATACAGTTTAGGGAAATAGCCTTAGACAGAAATTTCACTTGTTGTTCACAGTGTTCTCTGTACTTTAGAAAGATTTTCAGGAACTCGTAGTAAAAAAGGTAAACTGCAGGCTAAAGTGTGACATTACTTGGTATTAATTTCATTGCTAGATTTTATTTTGTAGGGGTGTCTGCACGTTGAAAGCTTTGCTCTGCTCTAGCTATCACTTAATTATTTGGAACACTTTGTTTACATTCTTCTAAAATCAAACTTTAAAAAGTTTCCAGATAAATAATCTGAGGGCTAGCTGGTACTGGATAATAAAATATGGCCTAATAAATTATATAACAGTTGTGGCAACACCCAGTTGTTTTGAAAACACATCAAAGAAGACATAATTGTCTCTGAACACTCCTGTAGCAACACTCAATCTGTCCCAACCTGTTTCCTTTCTCACCTTAAGACATGTCTTACAAAACGTATCTCTTTAGATCAACAAATGCCTGACCAGATTCTTTATCATAAATCAAATTTGATTTACTTAAAAAACATTAATTCAATGTTTATTATGTTTTAGACATTATACTTTGACATTATAGTGTCTACTATAGTGTATACTATAGTACTATACTATAGTGTATACTAATGCTATATTATACATGATACTACAGTGTATAGTTATTGTATACTTTGACATTAACGTATAGTGTCTCCTGTGGTTTAGTGGACAAGAAAGAGAGGCAGTGTATGTAATAATAGGTGCTAAAATATGGGTGTCAGGAACTGTGTGGAGTCTGGGATTTTATCCTACTTACAAGCTAACAAATTAGTCTTTGTTTCACAGGTGCTGTCAAAAGACGTCGACTCCTGGGTCAGAGTCGGAGAACTTCATTAGTTGCTGCACAAGCGGTAGCAACAGCTTCACGCTGGTTTGTGTTGGATCCCCATGAGCCCTGTTATGAGTTGAAATGTGTTCCTCCATAATTCATCTGTTGAAGCACTAACCCCAGACCTCAGAATCTGACTGTATTTGAAGATAGGGCTCTAAAGAGATGATTAAGTTTAAAAAGCCACTGGGGCAGGCTGTAATACAATCTAACTGGTATCCTTGTGAGAATAGGACATTTGGGCACACATGGAGACACTGGGATAGTTTGAGCACAGAAGAAAGACCATTGCGAGGATGCAGTGAGAAGGCAGCTGTCTGCAATCCAAGGAGAGATGCCTCAGAAGAAACCAAACTTGTGTGTTGGGAACTGCCCTGCCTGGTTTCAGAAGCTGTAACCCCCTGTGGCTAAGGCTGAGTGAGCGAACTTCGGACCAGAAGTCACTAAGGAGACAAAGCTTATCTCTCTGACAGAGGTGCCGCTTCTGCTCCTTTTTTCATAACTGGCCTCCAATGCTTGATCTGTTAGCCAATGACAAGTAAGATTTCCCAAGGGGGGAACGACCTAAGACAGGCATGATCACAGGGAGGCCCCCAGGGAAGAACTTGGGGGGCTATGGAGTAAGGGGGTGATGGACCCTTGCCCCTCAGCTTTGACATAGCCTGTGCCTTCATTCTGTCTGCAAGAAGTCTCCTAATCTCTTGGCTGCCTTATTTCCACCCCCTAACCTAAGCCTGAAACAATGACAGAGGGCAGTGCAGCCCTGTGGTGGAAAGGGGGGGTCCCCTAGGGCGATCAGGCCTAAGAAAGAACATGTAAAATCCTGTGAAACCTGCTTTGTTTAGAATGACCTCAATTAAATGATAAGGGTCGAGGCCAGAAGTGAGTTTGTTTCTGAGTTTTATGGCTGTTTAGCTATCTAACCCTGAGTCAACATAGGCCCTCAGAGTTCTTTGTATAGCTATTGTTTGATCCTTACTGCCTGAAAATGATTAATGAACTTTATCTGTATTCCTGAGCAAAATGAACCTAATAAAAGCCCATTGAGGAAAAAGCTCTTGGCCCTTCTTTTCTGAGAGATCGGCCACCTTTTCTCTCCAAGCAGATCACGTCTTGGTAGACTTATTCTCATCCGTGTACCTGGGGGGGTGCCCTGTGGGCGGAGCCCCCACACCTGTACTTGACTTGGTCTTCCAGCCTCCAGAATTATGAGAAAATAAATTCTATTCTTTCAGCCACCCAGTCTATAGTATTTTGTTATGGCAGCCCTAGCAAATTAATATACCCCCTAGATCAAGTGGGAACCATGCAGAAGGACTGTCATGGATGCCTCCACTGCAAGAGAAGCACGTGGCAATTAGGGGATTACTGCTTTTAGAGTAAAGCGACTTACTGCTCTGTGTCGGTGAGGAGAGCTTATCTCATCCTTCCAGATTGCTTGCTGCAAACACATGAGAAATGGCAGGGGTAAAGAGTGGTCAGGGACTTACATTCTTGGCATATCTGCGAAAAGTTCAGGGCCCGTGGCAAACTGCCTGTCCCAACATAAGTACGTCATATGGAGGCCAACTAACCTAATCCTGGCAGAATTGGGAGAGGCTTTCTGAAAGAGATGACATCTGTGTTCAAACACGACAGTCAAATAGGAATCTGTCACAGGAAGAGGGGAGGAAGGTCTCTCCAGGCAATAGAAAAGTCACACACAAAACTTAAAGTAAATGACCCACTTCAAGAAGTTTCTGTTTCCTTTCACATCCATCCCTATATTGAGTTCCAATCTCAGACACATAGAACTATGGCCTGTGTGTGGCTCTGGAATGTCTACATCCAATATACTTTTATGACTTGCACCGACCCCTGGAATCCTCGCATTCATGTAAACTTCCCAGCTGTTAACTCTCCACAAGGTTCATAACATTTCTAACCCTTTCTAGTAACTGCTCCTCTTTTTTTTTCCCCTTCAACAGCCCACAGTTAACAATGAGGCTTTGTAAAACATCACCTTAACCCATGGCCACAATTGCCTGGCCCATAATTTGAAACCTGTCTCATGCTGAACTAAATAGAATCTCTTCTTTGAGAGTTTAAAAGCCAAAATTAAGAGATTGCTATTTGTAACTGACTGTTCTCTTAAACAGAGCAATGTAAAATGTAAAGTGTTATATGTCAATTACACCTTAATAAAACTGAAAAAACACAATGTTGCACAAAATCAAGTATAAATTGCAGTTTTTTTAAAAAGAAAATAACACTAAATATTCCCCCTATAACCTTTTAAAAGATTATCTTTAATTTTTTATCTGTATACCCAATGATATATTCTAAGTGCATAACATAATCATACACACATATTCCTATATATACCTGTGTGTATTTACAGTTTTTTCCAAGGGGATCTTGCTACCCCTCCTATCTCCTGCTGCTCTTGAACATACCCTCCAACAGCCCCTCCCCCGCCACAAATCAACTGACATTCACAGCCTCACCTGTATCCCTCCACATGCACACACGCAAATGCAGGTTTTTGGGTTAATATTCACAAAAGGGAGATTTTGCTTTTTCTCTCTCAACAGTACTTATGCAAATTCTTCTAAGTCCATTTATATAGTTTTAATTTCTTTTTAATGGTTTCATAATATTACATGTGCATTATATATTCACTCAATCATTTTTTATTAGGTATTCACTTTGTTTCCAGTTTTGGCTGCAGGTATTTTTATGTGTAAGTTTATATATGCTATTAATTTTATTTTTACTGATTTCTGAGGAAAATGAGTATGGTGATCCATTGTGTTGGTTCACTCAGCTTCCTGATTCTGCATCTTCCTGGTCCTCACAGAGACAGCAGCTCCCGTGGGAATCCACTTCCATGGCATGGTTTTAGCCATTGGTCCTGAAATTCCAGCTTACTGTCTGTTTCCTCAGCCCTACCAATGTGGTTGTGAGCAAAGTGTATACCCTTTAATGTGTCCTTTTTAACTTGAACCACCTAGGGAGGATTATATTGTCCATGACTAAAAATCCTAGCTGATGCAATGTATTTTAAATGTGAACAAAGGACAGCAAAAAATATTTTGAATAAAGTACTACCTATATTCGTGTTGATGACACTCTCCTGTCCTAGGTAGAGAAAAAGTTTTGAGTTGCTTTCTTAGAAAAGATAAATCTATCAATTTGTTCAGCAGGAATCAACACTGCATGTCTCATATTCCAACTGGAAAGACCTCCTTATCTTCCATCAGTGCTACTGGGCGGTCGATGACCCAGCTCCATGTAGCTCCCTCTTCCTCGGTCAGTGTGGGAACTCTCAGACAAATGCCAGGCTTGATTCATCCCTCCTCTATTAGGCAACCAGGTGCAATTATCTCCATTTGTTGGTTGGCTTCTTTGGGGCACAAACAGAGAATGAGAAAAGTCACTGTGTTTTAAAACCACGTATGTGGTCGATCTCATTCAGTAGCCACCAAAAAGATTTGTTTGAAAGCTTTTGTACTCTACCTCTTCTCTTTGTCGTTTTCCTGAAACTTTCACAATGAAAAGTCATCATTTGAGGATGGGAATAAAAACTAAGTCAAGCATACCTTTACTGAAATCATTTATTTTAACACAGGCATTATTTTAAATTTGCGCTTTGTCTTATAACACATTTCATGTCTAGATAACAGGTTTAAGAACAAATATATAAAAGGATTATTTGACAACATTTTAACAAAAGAGGTTAGGGCTTGTTTGTTTCAGAACCCAGGTGCCCTTCACAAAGAGCCCCGAAGTGGTAATACATCACAAACTTGCTCTGAAAATAAACTACTTATGTATATACACTATATAGTTAAATGGGATATTCTGAAGCATGATTTCTATTACTAACAATAAACTCTCAGCAATAAGCCCTCTTTAACCCTCCGGCATTCAGTGGAGTATATTACTTTTATGGAGGCATGGATTTTCCAATTTGATTTCCATCTTCACCATAACCTAAGTGGACTTTGTTTCATCACCTCCAATACACACACGAAGTTACCTCTTACACAAAGTAGCTTTTATTAGCTTATCATCAACCAAAGCTTTATTAGTAGCAACTGGAGTTTTATTGACATCAATGTATCTACAATGTAAGGGAGTAATTATTTAGAAGAAAGTCTGGAAAAGTCAAAATAATTTCATTAAGTCCTATCTTAAATGGACTTCACATGTAAAAACTTATGGTTACAGAAGTCCATGATTTAATCAAGTTAATAATTTACATCCTGGTTTATTCCATTTATGTATTTATTGTAACAATGATTACATCTTTTAGGAAAGTTATAAGTATAAAAATTACTATAGCTATACCAAAAAATGAATATTAAAAAGCAGCAGTTTGTATGTTAAAATACATAGAAATTTGCTATACTTCTTTAACGAAGTGTTTTATAAAAGTATAAAACTATGGAAGATGCTATTTTGATGAATTTTCTGTTTTCTTGATTCTTAAGACAGACAACAAGCAAACATTGCAGACAGTGTGAGTGTTGACCATCAATTATCTTTGAATTCACATATAGTAGATTCTAGTGCAAAAAATCAGGGCCCCAAAGTAGTTTATCTTTACCTTAACTTACCTATGTTAAGAATGTTTAGTTACAATGTTGTTATCTCCTAAACTCAGTGAAAAATAAGCTATTTTCATTTCACCTTTTGTAGTATACATGTACACCCAGGTATTTACTGAACTAGCATTCATAAACTGTTCATTAAAAAGTCAAGAAATGTTATTATTACAATATTAACTGAGTATCTTTAAATCACATAGAAAATATGGGTTTATAAAAATTTTACTTAAATAATCAGATAAATAATAGAAGGAAAAGGTAGAATTTACAAACATACAAAAAAATAAAATGTTAATTTTTTTACCAGATAAATTTAAATTGAAAAATTTAGACGAGTTAATTTAGAATTCTATTATCAGTCTCTTTAAGATTGCTCAGAACCTGAAGTTTAGAACAATTTCAGATTTAAGGACTAGCTTTCATGTTAGTGACCACATCTTCATTAGTTTTGAGTTGCGTGGGAACAAGGTAAACCTGCCCCAGCATTAGTCTACACAAGGCAATGATTTAGCAGGTAACACAGCACTTTCTTGAATTTTATCAGTTCCAGATCTCCATACACTTCACCAACACCTATCATTATCCTTAATTCATATGGATGAAACAGACAGGTGGAAAAAAAGGAAAATTAAATTAGGCCAGGAAGCACATATAAACGACACAAGATGAAATCCACTCGTGTTGACCTTCACAGCACTGAGATCCAGGATGTCAGGCTTTATGTAGTTTTAGCGAATTATCTTTACTCTGACTAGGAAGAGAGAAATCCCGAGTTTTTCTGTATGGCAACTAAAGAGTTAGGGAAGTCAAGTTCTCAGGGTGTGTGGGAAGTTATTTAGTCTAGACAAATTCTTGAATCACAGTGATAAGCCCTTAGAAGCTCTGCCTCATAATTTCCCAGGGGTTTGCTAAATGATCCCACAAAGAAGCCTGTGAGTGTCAGCATGTCTGGCCTGACTTGGCAGCAGTCTAGGGAGCTGGCCAAGGCCACCATTTGATACTTATGACCAAAAGGCCACGCATGGGAAAAAGTGTCTTATCTTGCAATGAAGAAAGTAGAAAAATGTGGTGTGGAGATCAGGGAAAAACCGGTTGCCTAGAGAGCTGCTGTAAGGACGTCAGTCTCACAAAAGGCATGTCCATTTACCTCCACCCCTCCGTTATGCTTCTTTCCTAGGCAGAAATTTTGTGGCCAACCCACCTTCTGTGCCCTCAGGTTGCCTGGTGCCAGTCCTTGACTTGATTAAAATTCAGCTCCTAACAATTCTGCCAATTCCTACATACAATTTCAAAGGAATTCCTAGGAGTACAAGTGTGGCTTGGCTTACGAGGAATTCTGCTCCTCCTCCTCTATTATCTCAATGAGCACTTCAGACAGGTGCCTCTCAGGCTCCACTGTGGATATAACAGGATGTCCTTATGAAAATTCCTTTATCTTTGTTTGAAAAAAAAAAATCAACCAAACCCTAGACCTCCTAAATGCTGATGAGTCAAACAGGATGACAATATTTACTCCATTGCCATCATCCCTGTATTTTAATGCCATGAGTATGGGGAGTGGATCAGAGGAAGCAGTACAGAGTTTTTCAGTTGTACTGAGTAACGAGTTTTGTACATGTATCTGGGATATTAGGGTTGCAAATCACATGAAAGGTGTAAAAAAAAAAGTTGTGGGGAAATAGAGCAGAAAGCCAAAATTGAACAGTGAATTAGAGACTCACATGGGTATGAAAAAGGAAAGCCAAGGATATATAGTCAGAAAATAGCAGAGAATCCCCCCAAAGAGAAGGTATTGCTCTAGAACTCAGGAAGTGTGTGTGTGTATACATAGGCTATGGAGGGGGGAAGAATTCAGGTTACTTCAGAAATAGATACATTTTTTTATCTGTCCTTCCCACGGACACAAACATTTACATTTTATTTGCATTACAAGCTTTTGGAGAAAAGATTACGCATTTTACTGAAGAGGCCTCACAGTTCCGACTCCTTGTCATGTTCGTCCAGGTAGTACTCATCATCTGTGGTTGTGTCTGTGTCACAGTCTGAGTCTGCAGGATCCTCTTCATAAATTTTAAGTGGTGCATGTGGAGATAAGCCATCCTCTGGCATCTGATTGCTAGGAGAATCTGAGCTTGATGACTCCATTGGCTTAGGAGGGTGGATTACATCATCTTTCCGGAAGCCAGGGTACTTCAGAAAACTTGGCTTCCATAACCTTCCCTGTGTGAGTGACTTCTTTATATTCTCCAAGAAAGCTAACTGTTGTTCCTTCCCAAATATCCCATAGTCAATAGGTCTAGATATAGATGTTGCAGACTTGGGGCCCATTCTGCTGTTGCTATACAAAGCCCAATTTTCATTTTCATCATAAGAGGGAAGTTCAGAAGAAGATTTGAATTTTCTATTGTACCCATTGTTGTTAGAGAATTCATCCCTAAGGGTCAGGTGGTTCAGGGCATTGTCAAGAGAAGTGCTTTCAGAAAAATGGCGCTCCCTGGTTTTTGGAGGATGACTTTTGCGTAGCAGATCACCGTGCATGTTGATGCTTTTTAAACTCTTTGACCGGTAGGGGTGTGGCTCAGGTTCCCATTCCAGAGAAGCAGCACTCCTTTGTTGTTGCTGACATTGGGCCAGTGGGGTGCTTATTGCAGATTTCTCTGTAGGCTCCACTGGAAGATGGGGGTTCAGCCTCCTCTGATGGTCAGAGAAGTCAGCTTCCCCGAGGCTGGTGAATGTGGGTTGGCTCAGGGTACTTGAGTCTCTTCCCAAAATCTGAGCTACTGTTACATCTTTAGAATTCTCACACTTGGGTGGTGATTCTGAGCTATTTTTAAACTCATTCTGATGTGGTTGTGAAAAGCTGTTAGGCTTCTGCCTGCTGAAGTGTGTAGCAGCTTCTCTGTCAGACATTACAGTAACCTGGAGAAGGTTCTTGGATTTCTTCACATCCAGTCCATCACTATTCAACCTGCTTTCATCAGTGGATTCTGTGGACTTTGGAGTAGGCTCAGAAGACAGTGGGCTGCACTCTGGTGTGCCAACAGATAAACCACTGAAGCCAGAACTGTTCCCACTTTGGAGGAAAATAGTAGCTACATGTCTTCTGGGGCTTAAATCTTTAGCTGGAAATTTTCTGCTTGCTTTGGACATGGCTGCCAATCTGTGTTTAGGTGAGGATCTGTTTTTCCCTTTTTCTAGGTCATCCAAGCTGGTTTTATTTTTATTACTTCCTTCAGAATGTAAGGGTTGATCACATGCCAACCTCTGCATTTCATCTTTAGTCTTTCCCGTCTTTGTCACATTTACCTCCTGACTTCTTTGAGGTAGTTTTCTGGGTTTAGACTGCAAACTGTCCAAATCTCGTTCACCTGAACAAGTCTCCTCATCCACATGTAGTTTAGGCAAAGCTGGAGTAAGCGCAAAGACTTGGCTTTCTGGGTCAGATAGTGCATCATCAGTCTTTTTTTGAAAATCTGCTCCTCTGACTCTCCTAGGCTGCAATCCACTGGAGCTACCATCTTCAGCTGTGTCTGTGATATCTTTCTGAAAACACTTTGCACTTCCAATAGCTATGGTGGCTATACCACTGCCTGTGCACCCCCTGGAACACCTTCTGGTTTGGTGATTTTCAGCAATCCCTTCTGCATGGGCTGGAGGATTAGGACCACTGTCAGGTGATTTAATGGAGCACTGACAATTTTCAGATTTTTCTTCTGTGACTTTTCTTTCCTGAAGAATTAATGAAGCATGCAGTGTTTTACTTTGCAACTGTTTCCCTCTCTTCTTCCTGTTTTGTGAAACACCAAGAGGTGTTTCAGCTAAGTTATCTGGGGAAATCTCTCTAGTTTTAGATTCTCCTTTATGAAGAGAAACATCTACCCCAATAGAAGCCCTTTCCTGCAGCGTAGGTTCCAAGGGGCTAGTACTTGATAACTGTAGATCAGTCACCTTTTCAGCGTTGGGAGAATGGTAACTGTTGTTTTCCTGAGCGGAATCATTTAGTTTCTCTTTTTCTGAAGCATTGGAAAATGTTACAGCCCCCACTTTAGTTGATTCTGGAAGTGGGTCGGTATTTTGAGTATGCTCTTGGAGGAGATTACATAATTTTTTGCTGTGTTTCCTTGGTAGAGTATAATATACTGAAACTACCTCAAGACACTTTACATTATCTTCATCACCAAAAACAGAAAACATACTAGTAGTCTTAAATTTATGTAATGTTTTCTCACCTTTTTCCCAGGACATATCTGAAGAATCAGGTGAAGGGTCTTCATTTGAGAGGGAGAATGTCTTGGAGGCAGTGTTTTTACCATCGTTTTCAGTGCTTTCCTGAAAGGGCTCCTTTTGGTGGTATCTTGTGGTTAAAGAACAATCCCTAACAGGTGAGTCACTGTCCAGAGGGTGAATGGTTTTCTCCCAAGGTCTCAGTGTTATAGCAGAAGCATCCATGTCTGAGACCAAGCATTCTTCTCTTTCATCTTTTCCAAATGAGGCATGTGGCACCTCTGAAGGCCATGACACAGCCCTTTTGGTGAAGAGTGGGAAGGGTCCTTTTCTAATGGAAGCAGATCCAAGGTTTGTCATATTCTCTGCTGCTTCAGGTGCTCCTGAGGCTGAGTCTGAAACTACTTTGGAACATCTGCTTTCTGACACAGAACTGGAATTAAATTTATTTGATGTGTCTTTCCCTATTGGATCTTCCAAATTATTTTCAAGTTGGAATGGAAGTGGCACGCTTCTAAATGAAGGAGCTGTTATCTTACTTTCTGACTTTCTGCTATTAGTGAGAAAACTGGATGATTTTCTTGGTAAGGTACAATAAATTGTGTGAGGCTCAGGAGCCTTGGAATCACTTTGATCTACCTCATTGAGGCTACTGCTGCCACTTGTGGGTGTTGATTTACATCCCGTTTTGCTCAACTTTTCAATACAGGATGTACGTCGTCTTATTTTTGCTTTTCCCTTTCCAGCCCTGAGAGGAGGATGTAAGTGGCATTTGACATCAACCACTTCATTATTTATACATACACAACTATCACCACTCTTTTCAGTTCTCAAGGGGCTCAAGGTAAACTGATTATTTTGATACTGGCTATTATTGTCTTCCTTTTCTCTTTCTCCCAGAGATGGATCTTGGCCTGAAAGGCTTTCTCTCGAGAATACTGGAGTAGAAGGAACCACCAGGGCACCAAGGAAGAAATCTTTCGATGGTGAAGAATCTGGTAGTGTACCTGATGACAGACCTACAGAATCACATGGGATACTGTGGCCAGCAGTTGACTTGTTATACTTGGTAGAATGAGTTTTGGTACACTGTTCTTCCTTGGTATCTAAATTAGCAGGCTTTTCTGGAGATTGTGCATTTTGATTACCAGTAGGTTCAGAGCTCTAGAGGTTATTTTCAATAATGCTTGACCTGTCTTCAGTACTTATTATTAGTTCCTGGTTACAACTTTGATTTGGGCTGGGAAAAGATGATGATGTTCTGCTTTCCTGAATAAAAGGAAAAGAAGTTGCTGGACCAGATTTTTGTTTTTCAGTATAACCCTTATCTTTTTTTAGTTCATTGGCTTTATCTCTTTGTGATATATGAATTTTGGAGCTATCTTTCCTGGAAATGACTTTGGGAGCCCTTTTTGAAATTATGGTGCTAGATGCATTAAAAACAAATCTGTTGGTTTTGCCTGAGTCTTGGGAGAGGGGACTTTGAAAATCAGCTAAAGGGTTAGAGATTATTTTCTCTGAAACAGGTTGGGGCATTTCATTTGTCGTGTTTGTCTGGTCCATCTTATTTAGTTGCTTGTCTTTTTCTAAAATAGATTCACTCAAGTCTTTCTCGTTATTCACTTCTGTGAGCAAGATACTGGGTTGGCTTTGAGTAAGAGGTGGAGAATCGACTGAATTGCTGTTGGTCACAGTGGCTTCTGTGTAGCTTCTTATTGGAAGAGAGACAGGCTTCATTCTCTGTAAAGTGACTGTGGGATTCTGAAAGTTTGGACACTGATGATTCCTTTTGTCATTCGGAATCTGAGGGAAGGAAGTTTTAAATGAGGATGCTAGAGTCTGAGCAGTTCCAAATGAGTAAGGTTCTTGGTTTACTGGTACTTCTTTAAGAGAACTGTCCTGTTGGCATTCTAACCCACCAGATTTGATGTGGTAGCTTGAACCAATCCTGGAACAAATATTTGGGGTGCCAAAATGAGTCATCGGGTTCTCATTACCCTGTGACACCTCCATGTTCTCCACTGTGGATGTCTGAGAATCCAATTGCAAGTGATGTGGCGCTTCTTGGTCTCTGGGGATAGTAGTCTTGTAATTAGGGGGAAACGATCCCCAGTGTTGAGAAGAAACATTATGGCCATGACTATGTGATGCACTATCTGGTTCAGTGGAAATCATTTCAAAGTCTCTGTCAGAAGAAGTAAATAGTTTCCTGCTTTGATGAAAGCCAGACCAGGAAGAATGTTCTCCATGTTGGCCCCAGAAAGAACTACGTCCAAATCTCTGTTCCCTGCTTCGTCCAAAGGTATTGCTAAAGAAAGACCTAGCAAATGGATTGTCTTGATGGTAGAATGGCATATTCTCTGAGTTTTCAAATGGGTCAGGACTCATTGCACTGTCCATGGGAGAATTTAAACTGACACTCTGGTAAGTACTCTGTGAATGATAAAATCCATAGGTCCTATTCTCCTGAAAACACCTGGGATACACCTGGTCAGCAGGGTCAACTTCCATTGGTGACGGAGCCCTCAGGAACTCTTCCTGGGTTGGCCTATTTCCAGAAGGATCTGATCTATTCCATATGATGGATGATAAAGGAGTTCTCTTAGGGCTCTGCTGGTGGCTTGGTGGTATAAATCCGTTCTTGTTCTGAGTTGTGGCTGGAAAATGTATGCTTCTTGCTGTGAAGTGCCCTGTAGCTGGTGAGGCTATTCGCCTGCTGTCAAAACACAGAGAGCTACTACCAAAAGTATTCTTTTGCACATAATCTTCTTTTAAGACTCTGGGCTCCCTTGTCCTATACATATCATAAATTGTTCTTATTCTAGAAGAAAAGGTTTTAAAACCTTCTCTAGGGGTTCCTGGTCTTAGGATGTCATAGATAGACATATTAGAAGTTTCATTATAGTGATTTTTGTGCCTTCCTGTGGTGTTACCATATCTGTTCCCACTGGAGTGAAAAGGGCTGAACTGTGTTCTTGGTCCATGGTTGAGAGGTGATCTTGCATCCACTGAGCCTGGGGACTGCTCCTGATCCAGTGTGCTGTCCAAATCATCTAAAACTGGAAGGGGAACATGAGTGACTTTATATGTAAAACATTTTATAGTCTAATAATAATTTCAGTTGGGGAGGCTACTCTTCAAGAAGCATAATCATTTATAAATATCATGTTTATCATATCATCACAGATGTGACATTAGTTTTGATTATGTATTTAAGATAGCATGACTTTTACAAAGCTATAATGAAGTTTCTTTTTCATACTTTTCAAACCATACTTCTTTAAAGTTAACCTTCCATAATGCCTTAAGGGACATAAAGGCCAAAAAGCTACATTTTTTTTTTTTTACAAACAACAGATTTTAATTGTGGTTTCTCTTAGTCATCTTTTGTGTCACTAGATAATTAAAATATTTCCAAATATGTCAAAGGATTATGATAGAAATGAGAGTCTGTAAACAACATGTGATTTCTCAGTTCTACTGCTGAGAAAACAGCATTGCTATCAACAGTTTAGCACCTAATTTGTAAACACACTTATTTCAATGGACTTGAGCAATACATAAAATTTAAACTTCTACATATTTTAAATGATATGCTAAGGGTAGATTGTTTTCCTGTAAAAAGACCCATTAGCACTCCTTTAATAAAGCACTTTCTATGTGTCGGGCAGAATTCTAAGCACTGAATTTATTAACGCATTAAATCCTCACACAACCTTGTAAGACTGGTGTTATTACCAGTCTTGATTTAAAAATGAGGACACGGAGGCAGAAAGAGATTCAGTGAGTGGTTGTCTGTGGGCTCAGGCAAGTCATAGGACATTCTAAGTTGTCTGGTATTTCTTTTTTTTTTTAAGGGATATGTTTTATTTTAAGATTTTATTTATTTATCTTTAGAGGGGAAGGGAAGGAGAGAAGGAGAGAAATATCAATGTATGGTTGCCTCTCATGGGTCCCCTGCTGGGAACTGGCCTACAACCCAGGCATGTGCCCTGACTGGGAATGAAACCACGATCCTTCAGTTTGCAGGTCCGTGCTCAATCCACTGAGCTACACCAGCCAGGGCGGTATTTCTTTGAATTGTGTTTATTTAATCATATTTGACACATTTTCCTCAATAAAAGCCTGTTGGAATTTAAATAGAACCATAATCTTTTACGGTTTTAAGATTCCCTAAAGCCCACATTGTAGTAGATATAATTTTACCACATTCCTGTTACAAAAAAATAAGTAGAATATGTATTTGTTGAATAAATGTTCATTAAACAAAATCAAATCTGACATTAGAAATAAATTATGGGATTATTTAAATTGCTGAAGAAGTTTTTAGTTTACAGAAATCTGTCATACTGAGTTGCATAAAATGGTGTAATTTTCTAGGCTATTTAAAATTATTTGTCATCAAAATTTTTTATTTTAACTCTTCAATGAAAGGGAAAGTGCGGCATATCCTCCGCTTCTAACTGAATGTAAGTGGGTTGCACGTGCGACACGGCAGTCATGTCAGGGCAGGTGCTGAAGGAGTTTTGAGTCTGCTCTGGATTAACCCTTCGCTGTACTGTTTGTAAGTTGGTGCTGCTAAGTGTGAAGAGCCAGCAGAAGAACTAATCTTGATCGTTAAGGATCTGTAACTAAGGAATTCTTCAGGAAACCATTCTGTCAATGCTTTAATGAAAAAAAAAATTATTTTGTCTATGAAATAATTTATCCCACATATCCACAAATAAAATAATCAAGCAATGTCAACCATAAGGTGGAGCAAAGATAAAAACAACAACAAAAAAACCTGTGTAATAAGTAGTAATATCTGCCTTTAAAACTAATTATAATAAAATCTCTTTGATTTTTGTTCTTCCTTTCAAGCTGTTCATAGTTTTTCTTTCCTGAAATAAAGTCTTTTGCTGACCAAAACCACCCCCAATACATGGTTATAACAGAGCATACAGGAAAGTAATATAATAATAATATCCACTGCATGTCGTACTTTTGGAATCTATCCCTTTATTGTTATCTATTGTACAAGGTTAATTATTTAGCAACAATTAGATTTCATCATGTGCATTTAGGCAGTCAGTAACAATAAAAGTTTATTAAGAGCGGTAGACTTTATAGTTATATTCTCTAAAGGTGCAGTTCCTTTTCACCTGAGATTAAATATTAACCATTATTACCACTTCATAGGTTTATCAGCCTTGGTCTGAGAATATTCGTTTAGATTATATTTAAATATAAGATTCTTTAATATTTGTGTTAATAGCATCTAACAGCATCCTCTTTGAATAAGATAAGAGGACTTCAAAACTAAAGAACAGAGTTTGATGTTTTGAACATTTCCACTCAAACTGTAACTGTTATTTGCTTTAGTATTAGGAGTTGCAAAGGCAATTTTAATGCATAAACTTACCCCGGAAAAACTCGCTCTCCAGCATGGAAGCATCCCACGGAGGCACACCGCTTCCCTCCCTCATGCCTGCTGGCTTGGGGACAAATGCAGTCGACACTGGTTGATTTTCCAGGGGTGAATTGTATAATTTTGCCTGCTAATTTTAAAATAGAAAATACAATATTATTACAAGACCGTCTGTAGCTACAATACTCACATGTTCCCACAAAAATGCTCCAAGCTTGAAAGTACTGGTCTAAAGACTGCAATCAATTTTCCAAACATTTGTTCCTAACTTAACTTGTTTTGTTTCTGTCACTTTCAAGTAATCACAAACTTCTCCATACCTCTATTACTTTTTTTTTCCTATGAGTCTTCAGGAAACATATTGAGTCTTTCCCTGCCAAACATTCCTACAAACTTAAACAGCACTACACAAATCTTAGGGAGATTCCTGGAAAACAGGAAAGAAACCGATTTCTCTTAAGCTGACAGTGTTGTCTCCTTGGTCCTAATCACTAGAATTTTAGATTTCTGAGCTCTGTTCCTATTCTATCAAGAGCTGGTTAGCTGAAGCTTGTAGTGGACCTTAAGATTTGTGAACTCAATGGATTGAGGGGAAAAAAGTATTTCTATCCACAGAGATCACAGAGAATGGTAGAAACTACCAGACAGATAAAAGGTGCTGATTAGTGGTTCTGAAACAAAGGTGCTGAAAAGTATGACCTTATACATTTTTTTCAAAAATCACTGCTTGTTTTACAGGATCTAGGAGAATGATGTAGAGTTATGACTATTTTCTTTAACTAGCAAATGTTTGAGTTCATCAATCCATCACTGCCCTACTTTGGAGCTTTAATTTGTCCTCATAACCTTGGGAGAATTATCCACTCCCACACCTTCACTTTCTTTTGCCAAAACCCCATTTGCATTTCCTCTGTCAAACTGGCTTTGTCACTCCAGACTCCACTTGAGCTAATCCTTCACCCATCCCTGCACCGGGCTAGCAGCCACTTCCTGTTCTGGTGTCTTTGATTTTCAGTCCACTCAGCCACCCATAACTTGAAATCCTTTCTTTCCCAGGAGTTCTCTTTCCATTTGATGTTCACCATTACATTTCGTCTCACTTTGAACACCTAAATCTCTAAACCTAAATCTCTAAAACCAAATCTCTAATCTTTCCAAAACTCCAACTCTTCTCCTTCTACAGCACAACTCCGCCCAGTTCTAAAGTTCAGGTTCCCTTAGTCTCTACATTCCTCACAATCTAGTATTTTCACCCCTACCTGTTTTCTTTCTCAAGATCTAGGTCAGTTATTTCTGATAGAAGCCCTGCCCAAATTTCACTGACTTGTGGCTTTCAGTTCAATGGATAAACTGTAATTGAATGCACACAAAGGAGATTTCTTAATAAGAAAGAAACAATCCAATGATAATTTATTGGTCATTGAATATAATTTAACACATTACTATAAAATTCAGAAGTAAACCAAAAGCTAGAAGCAAAACATAACTCCAGTGAGATACCAACTGTAGGAAATAAAATCAGAGATTAATCATTCGAGAAATCAGATTACTTATAGCTAGATTCCTTTTTTCTAAAATCAAGATATTATTCTCTTTTGTGCCCTTCCTACTGTCTAAGTCTTTATTTGTGCTAATAACAATTAGTCATGCATCTGATAAATCCATTCTTCCCAAATCTGCAGTGTTGGTAGTTGGTACAGGTAGATGTATCTAAGAGAACAGCAAGCATCGTTTTCTCTCCACCATTTTAACACCCAAACAAACTTCAAATTTCCTTTATACAGACCAGAGTACATTCTTTTGGCTTCCTGTATCACAATGCTTTATTGTAAAAATATATAGTGAAATGAAAAAAACAGGACCTGAGGGCTCAGGTGAAGAGATGCACCTCTTCAAGTGGGGAAGGACACGTACCAACCAGAGACCCCGAATATAACCTGTGCTGATATGTCTGCCAGACCTTCTACTTCAAGACCAACCCTACTCACCAAACATGTTAAGAATGCCTCCCACACATGGAGATCTAAATTATATGACTAAGAGAAAATATGGAGAATTTATTTATACTCAAAGTGAACTCTGCAAGAATTTTCTTCCCTAGGGATAAAATTTTAAAAAGTCAGTGCTAGTCAGTGGTCTGCATCAGACATAGAGAAGACTGAACAGTGTCACAGCCCCACAGATCCCTTTTGTTGAAGCTCTCTGTGAGATACTACTAATAGTAGTAGCAGCAACAGCAACTGTACATTAATTATTATAGGCACTGTGCTTAGGGCTTCATAGGGATTACTGTATTTCATTATTTTAGCAACACTGTGAGGCTGGGATTATTATTATTTTCACTTTGAAAAGACTGCACTTGAGAAAAGTGAGGTGTCAAGAGGTCAGGTCATTTGCTTCAGTGGTGGAGGGAGGGGACTATTTCCATCTGTTGGGTTACAGAGCCCATGTGAAATCACCTCTCCCTACTTTTTGCTGTTAGTTTATCAGTGTACTATTTCCCAGTGGTAGACATCTTCTGAGGTCACACATGGGTCTCAGAGTTGCCGAAAAGCACCTGAAATTTCCTGATACCCAGAGTGGAGGTAAAGTCCTCGGGGCAAGCAGCACATGGATCCTCAGTCCAGGCTCAGTTGTGGACTCAGAATCCCCCTCACAATAATGTTCCATGCCAGCAGGTTGCCATAAGAAATGAAGCGTATTTCCCATTCCTGGCCTACAATTGTAGATGATGTTCAAACACCCTGTGCAGCAAAATCATATCAAAATCATTTTCCAGCTTTTGGTTTAAGCCTTTCCTCCCCAAGTCTCTTCAAGTGCCCTGTGCTCTGAGCTCACCACACGCACTTCTCTAAAATGTTGTGTACTTCTACGCCACCATGCTCCTTCTCCTCTTCTCTTGGGAAGTATCGACTGACCCTTCAGAGTCTAGTTCACATATTATGGTCTCTGTGAGTCCTTCTCCAATTCTCCAGGAAGAATGAATTACCATAGTATACTGAACATGCACCTCTGGTGTGATACCTGTTATGTCGTATCAAAGCTGTTTACATTCTCTGCACTTCTACTTTACCACTAGACCTCTCCTCTTCCTCCTTATCGCATATTTCAGTCTTCACCAGCATCTCAGAAAAACAGAGATTTGAAAACACATATGACAGGACCCTGGAATTGGCCCAACTTCTAAAATAAGTAAGAAAGCACAGTGTTTGTAATGTTTGAGGACTTCCGCCAAGATGGAGGTGTAGGTGGAAACACTCTGCCTTCTCGCACAACTAAGTTTAAAAACAACAAAGTTTTAGCAACAAAAACACAGCCAAACCACAGAGAATTGAACTATATACAGAAGTCTGACAACAACCAACCCTTCAGCCAAACTGGTAAGAGGGGCAGAGCCAGCAGCAGAGTGGGGTCGGGCAGGAAAGATCTACTGGACCAACCTGGGCGGTACCCAGGTGCACAGGCAGCCGTGGGTGGATCCCAGGTGTGGAGAAGCGGGCAGACCCACTGAGGGCTGACTGCGGTCACACATTCGTGCACAGATAAACCAGCGAAGGAGCGAGTAGTGAGACGGACCACGCAGGCCCCAGTGGCGGGAAGCAGCAGAGGGGACTGCTGTTACCCCCATTTGACCCCACCCCCACATACAGCGTCACAAACCAGAGACCTGGGTGGCCCCGCCCTGGTGAACACCTAAGGCTTGAACAGACCAAAAATGGCTCAAGAAGAACTGAAAGCCCCAGAGCCCATAACTCTAAGTGACCAAGAAATAGCAAAACTTTCAGATGCATAGTTCAAAACACTGGTGATCAGAATGTTCACAGAACTGGTTGATTTTAGTCACAAATTAGAGGAACAAATGAAGGCTAAACTAATTGAAATGAAGGGAAATACACAGGAAACCAATAGTAATGGAAAGGAAACTGGGACTCAAATCAAGGGAGTGGACCAGAAGGAAGGAAAAAAATTACCAAACAGAAAAGGATGAAGAAACAAGAATTCAAAAAAAGGAGGAGAGGCTTAAGAACCTTCAGGACATCTTCAAACGTTCTAACATCCAAATTATAGGAGTACCAGAAGGGGAAGAGAAACAGCCATGAGTGGAAAACTTATTTGAACAAATAATAAAGGAGAACTTTCCCAATCTGGCAAAGGAAATAGACTTCCAGGAAATCCAGGAAGCTCAGAGAGTCCCAAAGAAGTTGGATCCAAGAAGGAACACACCAAGGCACATCATAATTACATTAGCCAAGATTAAAAGGAAGGTGAGAATCCTAGAAGCAGCAAGAGATAAGGGGACAGTCACCTACAAAGGAGTTCCCATCAGACTGTCAGCAGATTTCTCAAAAGAGACCTTACAGGCAAGAAGGGGCTGGAAAGAAGTATTCCAAATCATGAAATCCAAAGACCTACAACCAAGATTGCTCTAGTCAGCAAAGCTTTCATTTAGAATGGAAGGACAGATAAAGTGCTTCTCAGATAAGATCAAATTCAAGGAGTTCATCATCACCAAGCCCTTATTATATGAAATGTTAAAGGGATTTAGCTAAGAAAAAGAAGATAAAAAAGTTGAACAGTGAAAGGACAGCAAACTCACAGTTATTAAGAACCACACCTAAAACAAAAGCAAACTAAGAGGACAGCTAGATCAGGAGCAGAACCATAGAAATGAAGATCACATGGAGGGTTAGCAACAGGGGAGTGGGAGAAAGTACAGAAAATAAGTAGCAGAGATGGTAGGTAGAAAATAGATAAGGGGGGAGGGCAAGAATAGTAGGGGAAAGATAGAATCTAAAGAACTCGAGACACTTGTTTATACACTAAAGGGGGGAAACGGTGGGGGAGGGGTGTGCAGGGTGGAGGGGAATGAAGGGGGGGAATAGAACAACTGCAATGGCATAATCAATAAAATATATTAAAAAAAAAACCCACACTGTTTTCCTCTGTGTCCTGAGCACCTAGCATAGCATCAGCATGTAGGAGACTGACTAATATTTACTTAATTGAATTATAAATGAGACTACAGCACTATTTTCCACCTCTACACTTCTCTAACACATTTTATTTATTTATTTATTTATTTATTTATTTATTTAATCGTTGGGTTACAGTTGTCCCGCCTTTTTCTGCATTGTTCTCCCCTGCCCCATCCTCCCCCGGTCTCATAAGCAATCCCTCCAACATTGTCCATACCCATGAGTCCTCTATTCATGTTCCTCTGCTTGACTCTTCCCCTACTTTCTCTCATAATCCTCCTCCCCTCTGGTCATTGGCAGTTTGTTTTTTATTTCTAAGTCTCTGGTTCTATTTTTTTTTCTTTTTAAATTTATTTATCTTTAGAGGGGCAGGAAAGGTAAGAGGGAGAGAAATATCAATGTATGGTTGCCTTTCATGGGTCCCCTGCTGGGAACTGGCCTGCAACTCAGGCATGTACCCTGACTGGGAATCGAACTGCGACCCTTTGGGTTCGCAGGCTCGTGCTCAATCCACTGAGCTACACCAGCCAGGGCTCTGGTTGTATTTTTCTCATTTGTTTGTTTTGTTGATTAGGTTGCACTTATAGGTGACATCATATGGTATTTGCCTTTCATTGCCTGGCTTATTTCACTTAGCATAATGCTGTCCAGTTCCATCTATGCTGTTGTGAAGGGTAGGAGCTCCTTTTTTCTTTCTGTTGGGTAGTATTCCATTGTGTAAATGTAACCATTTTTTAATCCACTGATTTACTAATGGAAATTTAGGCAGTTTCCAGCACTTGACTATTATAAATAATGCTGCTATGAACATTAGGGTACACAGGTTCTTTTGAATTGGTGATTCAGGATTCTTAGGGTATAGTCCAAGCAATGGGATCACTGGATCGAAAGGCAGTTTCATTTTTAGTTTTTTGAGAAAATTCCACACTGTTTTCCACAGGGGCGGCAGAAGTCTGCATTCCCACCAACAGTGCACTAGGGTTCCCTTTTCTCCACAGCCTTGTCAGCACTTGTAGTTTGTTGATTTGTGTATGGTGGCCATTCTGGCAGGTATGATGTGGTATCTCATTGTGATTTTAATTTACATCTCTCTAATGGTAGTGATGTTGAGCATTTTTTCATGTGTCTATGGACTCTCTGTAAGTCCTTCTTAAAGAATTGTCAGTCCAGGTCCTTTGCTCTAACACATTTTTGTACACTCATTTGGCATCAACTATCTTATATTTGATAATACTACTCTTTTATTCAGTTTTCAATATACTTTCAAAATATCCTATCTCATTTGATCCTTAGGATAAATTTGTGAATTGGGTGAGGACCATCATTCCCATTTTGCAGGTGAAAAAACTGAGTCTTGGGTAAGTGATATCAATAATAAACGGTAGCAATGACCACTCACATTCATATGATCTGATCTCTAACCCTGTTCTTTCCACTATGTTGCTTTGCACTGTTGTTTCACTAACATACACATCTTCAACTAAATGGTAAACTCTCTGAAGACAGGACCCTAGCTGTAAACTTTCCTGCCCTCCATGCATACAGGCATGGATTACTACCGAGGTAGAAAATTACATATATAAAATTTCTAGTAAAGATTATTACAGAAATTGAGACACTGAATACTTACAATATTAGGGCTCAGAACGGCATGCCTGAGGTGGGAAAGTGTAATGGTCAAACACATGAATTCTACTGAGGTCCAGATCTTGGTTCTGCCCCTTAATAGCTATATAACTTAGGGCAAGTTACTTAACATTTCTGTACCTTAGTTTCTTTTTTAGCAAAATGAAGAAAAATTATAATAACAGCATCAATAAAACCGCTCACCTCATAAGATTAAGTGAATTAATAATTGTAAAACACTTTAGAACGGTGTCCAGCCGTAGTAAGTCCTTGTTAGTCACTGCTCTTCTTCTATGGCTCCGGAGGGTTTCCTGGAGGACCTCTGGTCCAACAGGGGAAGAGGCCAAAGTCTCAAAATGCTGGCTTTCAGGATCTCAGTTACATTTTCAAACATGGTCCATACAGTAGGCTGAGCAAAACGAGGCCTTTTAACCAACCCCAATTCATTCTACTGATATGATTGCAATTCTGACAAATAGCCCTGCCACAGAGTAACCTAAGGCTCTTTGAGAACTTCCTGGGGCAGCGGAACCTGCAGAACAGCTGCTGAAGCAGAAGCTTAAGCTCACTGGTATTATCAAATGCCCTGGTAAAGCCAACAAAGTAATTTTTCAGGGTGTCCTTGAATTTGTCCTTTGTCTGCTTTCTTGCAAAGGTCAAATGTGCCAATGCACTTTATGGATTGAAACCACTCATTCAATTCTTCTTTCAATTTCTGAGTGCTCAGGTTGTGCCAGGCAGTGAGGATGCACAGGTGGGCACAGTCCTGGCCTCAAGGAGCCCACACTGACCCAGTGTGCTAAGTACATTGGCAGTGTGTTTGTAGGGCTCCAGAGCTGCCACATCACCTAACAGTAGGGCCCACCAAAATGTGTTTGGAGATAAGGAGTGTTCAAGGGACCAAGGCTGTATGTTTTGTTTCTATTCTCACTGATGGTGAACACTTTGACCTTGGCTTCCTCACTAGTAAGGACATGGTTCTCAACTGGCTGCAATTGGCTCCTTAAGGAACATTTGGTGATTTCTGGAGGTATTTTTAATTTTCACAATTGAGTGAAGAACTACTGACATCTAGTAGGCAGAGGCCAGGGATGCCACTAAACATCCTCCAATACCCAGGGCGGCCTTACAACAGAGAATCATTCAACCCCAAAAAAGCAATAGTGCCGAGGTTGAGAGAAACTCTAAGCTACATGTCTCTAAGTTTCTCTCTGTGTTTTTGCAAACCTTTTGTTTCTTTTAAACCAAAGCAAATATTTAAATGGCAGCTGTCTCTCTTTTGAGTGGAAAGTTATCTGATAATACAGCACAATCTCCTATAAAATGTGCCATTCCTGCCAGGCTGCCAACCAAGTTTAGGAACTTCATGTCCTTAAATTTTAGCAAGAATCCCTACAGCATCAACTTCCAGCTTTCTGCAGGCTTAAGGGGGATAAGACTTCCATTAATAAATAATGGAAATCTATGCATTATAGAAAACCTTTGGTTTAGACAGTAGTTTCATTATTTTCTCCCTCCTACTTTTCATAAAAGTTATCAATTGGAATCAACAATCACTAGCTCAAGTTGCATCCCAGCTCATACCTTTTAGATTGACAGGCTCTGAGCAGCGATCAAGAGGGCCAAAGAAAGAAATCTATTAATATTCAGATTACATTTTTGAATCCCCCAAATTCCAAATTAGCTCTACTCTTTTATAACTTCCAAGCATTTTTATTTATTTATTTATTTTTACATTCCTCATTAGCTTCAGATGCCATGGCTCTCACAATGGTAGAGGCCAGTGACCTCTGAGTACTTCTCCAAGGAAAAGGAGAGTGCAGAAGCATCTGGAGCAGGTCTCTGTCCTCTTAGAGAGCAAAGGTCTGTGCGTGCCACTTTCAGTCCACAGCTCAGTTAAAGGAGAGGCTGCAGGTAGTAAGCCCCTGAGGCTCATATGCAAACAGGGCTTTGCGGCTGACACACTGCAGGCATTATGCATTAACTTCTAGAGATACGGAGACCCAGATTTTCTAAACCTGACTCTACCATTGACCAGTAATTCCCTTGAGCACGATCTTTACATTTTCTAACCTCAGTTCCTTCATCTTTAAAATGAGGACCATAATTGTACTTCACAGATTTCCTCTGAGGATTAAATGAAATTATCTATGCCAAGCGGCAGTTGTTGCTGGTGCCATGGGGTTCAGTGTCATCGGAGAGAAGGAAAGAAGCAGCATTACTCTGAACAAGAAGGGCGTCTCTGTTTTTAAAGAACTTCTCTTACATGCATTCTTCACCAGAATTCTAACCCATGCTTTTTGCAAAAAGGAAAAAAACAAAAACAAGAGAGAGAGTCAGACAGAGACAGAGAAAGGTAGGTACAAGGACTAAGACTACAATGAATTGAAGAATACCTCTACCCTCCTTCTCACTCTTTGGTCTCCTCCAGTTCTCCTGCTTTCATCTCCAAACCACATGAGTCACACAGAAAGGCATAGGCATGTGTAGATCAAAGGTTAAGACGATGAAAAAATAGAAAACTTACAGCTTCTCACTCTTATGAGCATGTGAACACAGAGAATATATTTAAGTCTAAGTCCTTGGTGAAGAGTCCTGTTGGGTCAGTACCCTCATGTGAACCTGTTCTGGCCAAAGGCATCTCACTTATCAGTTGCTTCCACTTCGAATACAAATGACGATCTTACCCAGAAAAGATCCAGCCCAGACCCACATGGGCTTGGAAAAGTGGCGGTGATGCTTTCTGCTTTTTCCTTTGTCCAGCAGATTAGTGCTGTACAGAGTGACATGTGGAAAAATATCAGAGATGCCACTGATGGTACGACTGGACACACAGTGGCCTCACTCCTTCCTGGCACAGCCTGCTTGCTGATTGAGGATTTTAGTACCAGAGTCAACTGGAAACCAACCATGAATGGAAAACTTTGAACTCTCCAGGAGAAATCTAAGTTTCTTAAGTAAATTTAAAGCTGAGCCAAAGAGAAACCCGTTTCCCAGGTTTCTTCCAAAGAGGTAGCCAACCACGGATTACATTAATTAGGAATTCCTTACAGTAAGTTTTAGTTCCCAGCCACTTACCACAGCAGTTCCCCTCACAGACACAGCAGGTCCTGCGTGCCTGTTGCATCTGTGGAGAGAATTAGAAAAAAATTTCTTTGAAGAGTGCTACACTTTTACCAGGAGAAAAATCAACCAGGAGGAAAGATATTAGTACCTTGATATCTTCAGAAGATACATGTGTATTTCTAATGCCCTACAGGAAAACCTGTCATGGTTAGTGTATTGTTCATAAAAATTTTGGAAAACTTTTCTACGATTGCTAATGATGTTTTTACATCTTTGTCACTCAGGTAGCCAAAAAGAAATTACATAACAGTGGGTTTGTGTCTGAACACAGTATGAGATATAATAGCAAAATGGTTACATCTGCTGAGTGCTCACTGTGAGTGCAAGCAGTGTTCTTACACCCAGTGCTCATGTTAATTCATTTAAATACATCATTCTCATGAACTAGATGCTACGTCTACTCCCATCTTACAGACCAACAGACAGAGGTACAGAGAAGTTACAAGATACTACCCAAGCCAGATATCAGCATTTCCAACCTTTTCCATCTCATGGCACATGTAAACTAATTACTAAAATTCTGCAGCACACCAAAAATATATTTTTTCTGCTGATATGACAGAAAATAGGCATTTTGATTCATTCTCACTGGACAGCTATTATTGTGTTGGCTATTGTCATTTTTTTTATTTGACAATTTAAATGAAAGGAAGTCAGTGTTTCTTACTAAATAGTCAGACATTGCATGTTTTAAAAATTCTTGTGGCACACTGGTTGAAAATCAATGCTCTACACTTTTGCCAGAGTGATCACTATAAACTGAATCATGCCAGTTCCCTGCTTAACACTTTAATGATTCCCATTTGCACTCAGGTGAGAGTTCAAATTCTTCTCTGTATTTAGAAGACCCTATATTATCTAGTCCCGGAATACTTTCCGATATTCATTTTATCCCTTTATCCCTTCTGCCACAGAAACTGCCACACTCTGGAACCTATGCGCTCATTGTTCCTTTGCCTGAAACAGTTGTGTACCAATTGTTTGCCTGGATAACCATGTCATCCTTGAAGAATCATTATAAATGTCCATTTTTCCTGGGAGACCTGCTCAGACTCTAGACACCCAGACTTAGATTCTTAGTCTAGGATACAGATACACCCCCTTCAATGGGCTCCCAGAGTACACAGAACTTCCCCTTCTTAGCATGAATCTATGTTTCCCTATTTCCTATTTGTTGTCCTCACATGATTAAGGACTGTAAAGCCAAGATTGTTTTGTTCCATAGTGCTGCACATGGAATTCCTCAAACAGTATTTGTTGAAGAAATGAGCAAATGTGTTCATTTTTGTTCTCATCTCATCTGCTCTTCCTATATTCTCCACCATCATCTACCTAGTTTCCTAAGTTGGAGAGGAGAGTTCCCCTCCACTCTTCTTTCTTCCACATTCGCCCCATCCAGTCACCAGGCTGTCACCATTCTCCATTCTAAACTGTGCATAAATCTGTTCACTTTGGCCCTCCTCGTTGCCACCATCTTAGTTTAAGCCACTATTATTTCCACAGTCTCTTACCTGGTTTTTCTGACTTGAATTTTGCCCCCTGAATTTGTCCTTTGAGCTACAGCTAGAGCAGTTCCACAGCCTACGCACTGTTGGCATCTCTTCTGTGTGGTGGGCTGTCCCATGTTGTAGAATGCCCAGCAATGCCGCTGAACCTTCCCCACTAGATGCCAATAGCACCTTCCTTCAGAAAACCAGTAATGTCTTCAGACATTGCCAAATGTCTTTTTGGGGCAATTTGCCCCAGGTTGAGAACCACAGAACTAAGGTGATTTTTCTAAAATGAAAATCTCATTATATCACTTCTCTGTTTAAAAACCATCAATGGAAAAAATACATATATGTGCACATGCATGCATGCATGAAATAAACAAAAACATGAGTGTTTGTCCAATGAGTTGTGATTTTTATCTGATATATATATTTGTATGTACATAAAATAAACCTATATTATACATAATAATAAGAAAAGATATGGCGTTATTTTAAAAAGTGATTCATGGCTCCCTGCTGTCTACAGGATCAAAACCCTTCAAGCTCAACAGACTGCGTGGGTAAGGTTCCTGCACTCAGGACTCTGCCAGCCTCTCCCATCCCATCTCTTATCAGTCTCACCTCACACTGGGTCGCTGAACCTCAGTGACCTAGATGTTTGTCTTTTCCAGTCTCTGTATCTTTCCTGTGTCATTCTGTCTGCCTGGTGCAACATCCCAATTCTCAATTACTCAGCTCAGTCCTCTGTGTCTTTCAAATAATTGGCTCTCTTCTTCCTGGAGCCTCCTGGGTCCTCCAGTCTGGGTTAAGTGCTTCTCCTACATGTTCTCATGGCAGAAATGCCACGCTTCCGCCACAGCACTCACCATATTACACTGCCATCATCAGTGCATCTGGCTGTCACCCAGGGTGCAGCAAGGCAAGATGATATCCCTGTGTGGATTTTAAAGGACATCTCTTCCTCAAGATCCTTACTGTCACTTGCCAGAAAACTGCCACAATAAATACACAAATCCACAAGAATTGTGATATGACCAGAACTTCCTGGAGATCTTCAGAGCACCTCTGCCCAACCCTGTGCAATCACCTGGTATTCCCTTCTAGATTATAAAGCCCTCCGGGCAGAGGTGAACTTTGTTTCCACAATTTTATCTCTAACACTAAACATCGCACCTGATCCAAAGTAAGGCTTTGATTAAAGCTTGATAAATAAATGAAAGAGAAACTTTCACCTGGGCTACTCTGACAGCCTTTAGCGTGGAGGGAACAGGAAGCTATGCTGCAGTGGTTTCCAAACCTGAATGAACTTCCTAATACCCCAGAGAATTAAAACTAAATAAATGTCCCTGGGTTCTACTTCAGACCTTCTGAAGCAGAATCTGAAGGTTGGGGCCTATTTATCTGTCATTATTTTTAAATTGCTGATGAGACTATAATAATGACCAACCAGATCAACTGGGGATCCTTTGGCCACTCCCCTGGTCCTGCTTCTTCCTCCTGTCACCACAACCCTGCTGTTTATCTGTGGACACCACACCTGGTGTAGAGGACTTCCAAAGAAGGCTTACTCTGACTTCTTCAGTCTAGGTGTCTTAGGTTTTTTCCTGTTCCAATGTAAGCAAAGGCACTCAACTAGGAAAGGGGAAGAGAGTGCAGCAGGACATTTACAGTGCGTGAGAGAAAAAATAACCACCAAACAGAACCTAGGAAAATAATAATCTTTTTAATTTTCCAAAATAGTCTTTGAACTTTTTGTTTATGTGAACTGAGGCTGCAGTTGGACTGCCTAAGCTGTGTACACCCTACAGATGAGGCAAATTTGGGGGTGTCTGAAGAGCAGCTAGTGGATCCACCAAAGCTCTTTGCATCTCAAGGGGAAAAAAATTACCCTGAAGAACAGGGTAGTCGGCATGTACACACTCACTCCTGCAGTTATCATTCTGTAATCACACCTACGGAGAGAGCACTTACTATATGCTAAGCACCATGATGGTCCCCAAAGGAAAAAAGCGATCTTAGATTTAACTGTGCAAGTTGTTCTTGAGCCTTTGAACTAGTTCCCTTGTATTTGCACTCTGCCTAGTCCTTGGGATTGCAACAGATGAAAGAGATTGGGGGCAAAGGTCTACGTCCTTAAAATTGTCATGATGAACTGATGGCCTATGACTGCACAGCTTTGAGAATGTGTGTGGACAGGAGGGTGTGGCCCCCTTGAAGGGGTGACTCTATTGTGGAGAACATTGGGGCATGAAACAGAGTAGCATGCATATCCCCCCACTATGGGGCGGCGGCCTCACTGTAATGACCTGGGTCTGCAGTAAGAAAAGAACAACTGTAGAAGCTACTTGGCAACCAGGAAGACGGCATTTGTAAGCTCATGACATATACTGTCAGTTACTTGCTGGACTATATGGAAGGCATTTGTGGGGCAGTGGAGTTACTGAAATTTTGTGGTAGAGCATGAGTACTCTATGTCACAGGCACTAGATTCCCCATAGCAAGACCTGAGGAAATACAACTTACAAGGAAATGTTGGGGGAAAGGTACATGTAAAACATGTATACTTTTCTCAAATTTATTGGCTGGCAATAAATAAATTAAAACATGAATGAAAACTATTTTTCTTTTTTCCTGGGGTTGGGGGTTACACAGGGTATAGTATGACCATTTATAAATAGGCTTACAGTAATAATAATACATAGTATGGGAACTGCATGAATTTGGGAGGAGAAACCAGTCATATTTGAAGCAGAAATGGCAGAACTTTTTGCTTTTTTAATTCATGAGGTCACTATATTCCCATGACTTTTTATGCACTGATAATAGGAAATCAAAGCTTCAACATGCCATATTTTTTTTTTTATTACCTGGGCCTTTCTAAAATGAACAAGTATATATGGTGAAATGATGAAGTTCATTTTTTTCCTGGAGATAGTTATCCATTATCCAGTGCCATTTCTCAGTTAAGCTATAGCTTAGGCTTAAAAGAGGAAAAGAAAGTTCTCTGATACTCAGTCTTTCAGGGCTGAATGGAAGGCTGAGTGTGCTTTGCCTGGAGAGATTGGATCTCTTTCTGTGATTTACAAAAAATCCTATAAAATGCTTTGCTGACTTCTCCAGAGCAAGGAGTGTGACAAAGTCAAACCTTGATGACTTCAGCGAGTGGAAACCTGACAGAGAATGACTGTATTTCCCCTGGGGCCTTCGTCAGCTCCTCTTGCTCACTCACCGGCAAGGAGGAGCTCTTGAACCAGAGTCTGCATTTTAAGGGTGATTTTGTATTTTGAAAGATCAGAACTGCCAAAGAAAGTTCGGTTCTACTCAAGAGTAAAGAGCACCTTGGAATTTATTGGTGGGAATATATTCCTACCAAGGTATAACACTTCCTTAACCATACACATTCAGGATTTATAACCAAATATTTAGGTAAAATTGATATTCAAAAATAAGATACATATTTTTACATTGTTATCTCCTGAAACCTCTTAGGAGCAAAAACCAATGTCTTCATGATATCTGCATCAGCATAACTAATAAATATATATTCTCAATTATGTTTTGAAAATAAAGTGTATTTAAAGACAACAATTTCTGTAAACTGCTAAGTACACACGTACACTTAAACTGATAAAATGTGTTTAATTTCTGCATGCTGTGCTAAATGCCTCAGTTCAACTGGTTGAAAGAGAGCTACGAGTCATTTCAGTACATAAGGACGGTGGTTGCTGAACCCTTTTTGCAAGAGTTTCCTTTTTTTTTTTTTTTTTCAGTTTGGCCCATAACTAAGACACAGGCGACCCAGAATGACGATGATAGATCTTTTATCTCCTCTGATCTTTACTTTTGCAGTAACTTGCAATATGAGCTTGGAAGTAACTTGTCAATAGAGTTTACAGGTTTTTTAACCTTTCCCAGTTTACTAATGTTAGATTGTTCGGTGATATAAAACCCCGCCTTAGAGAAAATCACCTAAAACACAGATTACTTCATGAATCCCAGCTACACCACACATTATTTCTTTTCTCCTTAAAAGACATTTTAGCTACAAAAAAAAATACTCCACTTTTGAGGTACTCAAAAGAAAATAACTCCCCAAATGAAAAATGGAAAATGCTCCACTTTTAATTTCCCAAATGAATTACTAATGTTTCAAACATTTTACAAAAAACAAAAAAGAAAAGCAACTCACCTATTTGAAGAGTATTTGCTTGTAAGTGACTCTGGTACAGCCAGTCACAAAAGTGTACATTTTGTTCATTATTTTGTCAAAGACAAAAAAGCCTCTGGTGAAAGCTAGAAGCAAAAATCCTTCTATTCATCCATCCAAGAGGGGAAAATAGAACTGTTTTCTAAGTCCAGGAGCTTCATCACATGTCCCACCAGCTGCCTGCTGCCTACTGCTTTTCAGCAAGAGTGACCTCTAACACCTTTTATTGAAGCACTGCAATGCACTCCTAATGGTCTGACGGCACACACGGATCACAGCACATGCCAAGCCAACACCTTAAGAGGGTGGGAAGCTTTTCAACCAGGAAGGCATGCTGAAAATATTTAGCAGTCAGCTCAACTGAACGGAAGTAAAGTGTTGCTTGTTTTTTCATAAGACAATCCAGGAATATAATCAATTGAGGTGAACTGATTTATGCAGTTCTAAACCACGAACCGTCTGGAACTATGCCTCCATTGCTCTAAAAGCTTCTCCTCCTTTGTCTTGAATTTAAATTCTGGGCAACGACATCAGAGTGGTCCTGATTTTTCTCTAGTCTCTTTGGTCATCTCAGTTATGCTCATTTAGTACCCCAACCTTCCTTGTGACCGCAGATACACATACCCCTAAGGGAATACTTTTGATTTAAACATCTGCCTGACCAAGGCATAGCCCAGGCATTCGGAGCAGGGGGAAAATTGTCAGTAATTATTACCTGGGACCTGCGCAGCTGGTTAGAGGTAGATTTCAAGTGAGCCAGGTTTCATGGTTTCATAAGGACTTTGTCCCTCTGCAAGAAAAGTCCTGTGTCCTTTGTCAGGATCTGAATTTAAGTTCTAAGAACAATCATTAAACTTTCTGAACAGAAAGCAGGCTGCCGGCCTCAGGGATCAGGTAGCGAATGAGCTATCACGTGATCTGAGTCTGACTCACCCTTTCGGTCCCAGCCACTGAGGCTTTAAAGTCTCCTTTCTGGGTTTTCCGAAGGAGAACAGGGAAGCGAATGATGATCTGAAGCTCAGCCGAGAAGAAACCGGTGTTGGGTTTCTTTGAGTAGGTGTATTTTTAGATCTTGATGTTTGGAATTCCATAGGATCTAAAAGGAAATTGTAAAAGTTCTGTATCATTAAAATATTTCAGTAAAATAAAAAGGTTTTATTATACTCATGTACAGGTAACAAAAATAAGTGATTGGTGAAGGTAAGCAGCATGCTTAGATTCCAAAGAAGGCATTTACTGGAGTCACATGGTTTAAGTTTCTAAAGTACCAGAAGGGGGGCTGCCCTTCTACCACCTCCCTCCCTTCCCTTCTCATTAATTTCCCCTTCCCCACCCCCACCTCCCCTCCTTCTGCATCATTATCACACTTATTTAAGTGCTTACTGTGTTTCAGCTCAGTACTTTGTACATACAACTTTATTTAATTCTCACAACCACCCTATGAGGTAGGTATTATCATACCCATTTAAAGGTGAAATAAATGAGACTTGTAGAGAACAAGTAAGTTGAATATTCACATGGATTCTGACAGAATAGACAGGGTGGAGATTTGAATTCAGACTTTTAAAAATATTGATATTTGTGTTCCTAACCACTCTATTATCTTGTCTGACTTTAAAAATATACACCCCAGACATTATAGTATGTGTTCAATTCACTCTTTTTATTGTGTTGTGAAACTTTTGTACCATGTTGTTGAAAAATAGTCCTAAACATTGATTGATTAAATTGGAGGGCCACTGAGCCATTGCCCACAATACTGTGCCATAAGAAAAAAAATAGATGTAAATTTTTTCTCACCATTTTCTGCCATCCCCTTCCTTAGCCTGTATGTAAGGGGTTGTTTTAACATTTGGCTAACATCTGTTTCATTGCAAAACTTTTTTCTTTGAATTTCTTCAAACCATTCACCAGTCACTCCCTGAAGCCATCTGATATCCCTCTTTGTCTTCTGGAGTTTGCTGAAATAAAGAAAATATTAACATACCCTTTAAATTCTTCACATCAAGTGTAAATTCATGTGACAGGCTAAATTTTACTTAATAGAGAAACTCCTTGAACTACAAGTCTAGGAGAAAACATTGGTCCTATTCAGAATTTCCTTTTCACTACTGTGTATATATATTGGCTGTATATATATATATACTATGTATATAAACATTGGCTGTATATTTTCCAAAATAATAACAATCTAAAACTTTTTGCTAGTATTTAAAATAATCAAGTCTGTGAGGACAATGTGAGTTGACGATTGTGCAAATCTACCTAATAATGCAATTGAATAACAGATGTATTAATGAGATGTTAAAACTAGAATATTCTAGTTCTGATTACACATTCATTTATTCAGATGTGTTCATTGAGCAATCAATGCACCAGTCTTTGTGTAGGCAATGGGGATTCAACAAGAATAAAACATACGGGGTCTTCACTAGCCCACCCAGTGGTCAGAGAGAAGAGCTTATGTGCAGAAAAGAAATTGTTGAATGTAGAAATTGTTGAATTCCCTTACATAAGGAAATTCTTTAAACAAAAAAATCACAAAAGCCTATGAATGAGCATAGGGTTAATACTCAGGTAGTAAGAAACAGTGTAATTTCAGGTAGACAGAAAAGGAAACCTGAGCATAAATGTGCCTGACCCCCACTCTCAGAGTATCAGAACTGAGGTTCCATCCTTGCTCCTTTCTTCTCCCCTTCAGTGTCCTGCTTAGTTCTCTTTCAAATGAAAATGTGGTTCTAAGTCCTTAATTAAAGCATTGATTGTGATGGATTTTTTATTTTACATTTTTTGTTTTTAAATTATTAGGTGTCATATGATATTATATTATTTTCAGGCATACCACCCCGTGATTACACATTTATAGAACTTACGAAGTGGTCACCTCAATAAGTCTAGTACCCACAGTTACTACAATATTGCTGACAATGTTTCCCATGCCGTACTTTACATCCCCATGACTGCTCTGCAACTACCAGTTTGTACTTCTAAATCCCTTTACCTTTTTCACCCATCCTCTTAACTGCTCACCCATCTGGCAACCATCAAAATGTTCTCTGTATCTGTAAGTCTGTTTCTATTCTGTTTATTTTGTTTCTTAGATTCCACATGTAAGTGAAATATACACTCCAGACATCATCTGGTATTTGTCTTTCTCTGTGTGACTCATTTCACTTAGCATAATACACTGTAGGTCTAGCCATGTTGTTGCAGAAGGCTGGATTTCCTACTTTTTTATGGCTGGGTCATATTCCATGTGTATATGCACCACCTCTTTATCCACTCATTTATTGACAGACACTGAGGTTGCTTCCAAATCTTAGCTATTGTAAATAATGGTGAACGTAGCAATGAACATATGGATGTAAATGTCTTTTCAATTTAGTGTTTTGGGTTTCTTGGAAACAATACCCAGAAGTAAAATTGCTGGGTCCCTCTCTGTGTCATTAGAGACTTTGTCTTGAAGTTTCTTTTGACTGGTATAAATATTGCTTTCCCAGCTTTTTTGTTTTGTTTTTATTTTATTTTCATGAAATATCATTTTCCATCCCTTTACTTTTAGATTTTTTTTGTCTTTCAATCTGAAATGAGTATATAGCACATGTAAGGGCCTTGTTCTGTTATCCATTCAGCCACCGTATATATTTTGATTGGAGCCTTCACTCCATTTGCTTTTAAAGTAATCGTTGATAGATGCGTATTTATTGACATTTTATTATTCACATTTATCTTTTTTCTTCTTCTTTTTCTTGAAGAAGACCCTTTAATGTTTCTTGTAATTGGTTTGGTGGTGGTGATGAAATTTTTTAGCTTTTTCTTGTCTGGGAAGCCCTTCATCTGTATTTTGATTCTAAGTGATAGCTTTGAGGGGTACAGGAATTTTGGTTGCAGGTCTTTGATTTTCATCACTTTGAATATTTTCTGCCAATCTATTCTGGCCTCCCAAATTTCTGATGAGAAATCAGCTGAGAGTCATATGGGAGCTTCCTTATAGGTAACTGACTGCTTTTTTTCTTGCTGTTTTTAAGATTATCTCTTTGTCTTTAACCTTTGGCATTGGAATTATAATGTATCTTGGTGTGGGCCTCTTTGGGTTCATCTTGTTTGGGATTCTCTGTGCTTCCTGGACTTGTATGTCTATTTCCTTCACCAGCTGAGGGAAGCATTCTGTCATTTTTTAAAAAATAGGTTTTCAATTTCTTGCTCTCACTCTTCTCTTTCTGGTACCCCCATTATATGAAGGTTGGTATGCTTGATATTGTCCAGAGACTTGTTACACTATCCTGATTTTTTGGATTCTTTTTTCTTTTTGCTGTTTTGATATGGGTGTTTTCTGCTTCCTTATATGCCAAATTGCCAATTTGATTCTCTATTTCAACCAGTCTACTGTTGATTCCCAACAGGGACACTGGCAAGCACTGTCTGCAGTGTTGTGGCTGAGACCAGACAAATTCATATGGACTACTGAGTCCTGTGGAGGAAAAGGGATGGCATGACCATCTCAAGGGGAGGGCACCTCAGCCACTCTCTCAAGAGGAGAGCACGCTGACCCTTGCCTTGACAAGCTTTTATTGGCTTAATTCGCATAGGAAAACAGGGTGTATATGGAAAGCTTATCAATCATTGTCAGGCAGTAATAATCAAATAGATCACATTCAAAGAACTCTGAGGGCTTATTTCCAGTTAGGGTCAGATAGGTAAAGGGTCATAAAACTTTGGGGAAACAAACTCATTTCTTGCTTGGACCCTTATCATTTAAATTGAGGGTATTAGCAAAGCAGGTTTCACAGGATTTTATGCGTTCTTTCTTAGGCCTGGTTGCCCTGGGGAACCTGCCCTTTCCAGCACAGGGCTGCACCCACCTCCAGCATTGTTTCAGGCTTAGGTTGAATAGGGGAAGTAAGGCAACCAAGAGTTAGGAGACTTCTTACAGAAAGAATGAGGACTCTGGCTATGTCAAAACCAAGGGGCAAGGGTCCATCACCCCCTTATTCCATAGCCCCCCAAGTCCTTTCCTGGGTGCCTCCTCGTGACTGTCCCTGCCTTAGGTTGTCTCTTCCTTGAGGAATCTTACCTGTCATTGGCTAACCAGTCATGCACTGGGGGCCAGGCAGGGTGAATTAAAGTGGGCAGAGGCAGTACTCCTGCCAGGGAGATAAGCTTTGTCTTCTTAGTGGCTTATGGTCCCAAGGTCTCTCACTCAGCCTTAGCCGTGGGGGGGTTACAGTTTCTGAAACCAGGCAGGGCTGTTCCCAACAGATTCCCTATAATTCACTCTTCATGTTAGTGTAGCTCTAATTTCTGACTGGTTCTTGTTTGTGGTTTCCATGTCCTTTTTTATGCTGCTGAAGTTCTCACTAAGTTCCTTGAGCATCTTTGTAACTATTGTTTTGAACTCTGTATCTGGTAGATTGCTTGTCTTCATTTAATTTACTTCTTGTTCTAAAGATTTCTTCTGTTATTTCATTTGGGACTTGTTTCTCTGTCCCTTTATATTGGCTGTTCCCCTGTGTTCGTTTCTATATATTAGGCAGAGCTGCTACATCTCCAGAACTTGGTGGAGTGGCCTTATATAGTAGGCATCCTGTAGAACCCAGTGGCATAGCCTCCCCGGTCACCTGAGCTGTATACTCCAGGTGTGCCCCACGTGAGCTGTGTGCATGGTCCTGTTTCAGTTGAGCCTCGATTGCTGTTGGCACTTCAGTGGGAGGGATTGACCCCCAAGACTGATTGTTTTTGAGGACCATCCATCACTACAATGAGAATCTGCTATGTAGGGGCCAACCCCATGGAGCAGGACTCAATGGGGATTTGGTGCCCACTGAGTGTGTCACTCATGGAATGGTTGGCTTGTAATCCAGTGTGGTCTGAAGCTGCCCACTGAGTGCACTGGCTCTGGGGGCTACCCTGAGGTGCAGTCCAAGGTCAGCTGCTGCCTATGCCCTGCCCTGGGCCACCCGACATGAGCTACAAAATGACCTGCAGGTGGCTGCTACTTGTGCCAGGCTTGCAGCTGTCTGGGAGAGGCCAAACTGCAAGCCAAGGCCAAGTGCTACTAGTATCAGTTCTGGTGCCAATTAGTGAGAGGTACAGGGCTCACTGAGGACAGATGCTGTATGCTTGAGGAATTTTAGGATAGTCAGAAGCATAAACTAAGACAGGCCCTTTGTATGGAAAAGCCACTGGAAATGGCTTGGATGGATCTGAAATTTGGTTGGGGTAGGGTCTTAGGGAATCACCAGAGCGGGGTAAACAGTGTGAGCCAGGTCGATGGACACAGATATGGTGGTCACCTGCCAGCTGTGTGTGTGTGTGTGTGTGTGTGTGTGTGTGTGTGTGTGTGTTGGTGGGGGGCCATTTTAGGAAAAGGACAGTGTCCTCTGCCAGCCTCCCCTCCAGCCCTCACCCTGATGCCAGACAATTCAGTTCTTCCCTATATGTCTCTGGTGCCTTTCCAGCTGCTGCCCCAGAGGCCAGAGTTGAGAGCATGTGAGTCTGAGGAAATCTGTGTGTGTGGATCCTTTCAGAGGAACTGCCTGGGACTCTAGAAGCCCTCCCTCTCACTCAGCCACATTCTTTGCTGGTTTTTGCAGCCAGAAGTTATGAGGACTCCTCTTTCTGGCACTGGAACCTTGTGATAGGGGGCCTGGTGTGGGGCTGGGACCCTTCACTCCTTTGGGGGGATCTCCTCAGCCGAGTTATCCTGTCCGATTTTTAACCACTGCCAAGTGGGTGTGGACCAGCCTTCCTGTCTCTGCACCCCTACCAGAATCAATGTGGCTTCTTCTTCAGATTCTTCATTGTAGAACTCTGTTTAGCTGGATTTCAGGTGTTTTGAATGATGGTTGTTCTGTAATTTAGTTGTAATTTTAATGTTGTTGTGAGAGGTTCTGAGTACCACATTTAGCCATGCCAACATCTTGAGTGGAACCTCGTGATTGTTTTCAGGAAGCAGACCATT